AAAATGTCCATTCCAGTGACTTTTTGGAGAATTCACAAATACAGGAAAGACGCACTTCTGACTATTTCGTTAACGCCGATTCCGTTGAAGAATATAGTCAAATGTCTGTATCTCATATAGATGCATTTCAGTCAAAAACCAATAATAAATGTTAATCTTTTGCCACTTCTGAGAGATTATAGGTCTTTGGGAAATATTGGTTCCAGATAAATAAATTGGAAATGAGCAAATTAGTTAAAGTTGCTATTATTCGAAAATTAGAGAACGAAACCTGATGGTTTTCTTTTATTATTTGTCACAATATCTTGTGGAATACTTTCAAGTATTTGGCCTATATAAACTGTATCGTTTATTATAGTGTTGTAGGGTATTCAACGGTTGGCCCCGCTCGACTGTAGCCTTTGCTTACTTGTCATATCTTAACATTGTAGATATCTTCTACGAGCATTTTCCTGAAATCGGTGCACTGCATTTTGTTTGTTCTCGATATATAATAGGTGTTTCCAGATATAAAACATTTCTTTTCACACATTTTCCCGAAGCAGGATTGTTTGTCGGCACATGTTTTACATTTTTTTTTTTTTTTTGGATTTTGTATTTCATATGATCTATGGAATTTCCCAGCCTCTTTGAACACATTCCATATTTGTAGAATAAAGCAGAAGACCTGCTAATGAATTGGTGTTAAGTTATGCGTTGCGCATTCCAATCCAAATTCCCGTTCCCATCCGTGAAATGGTAGCTCATGTATTTAATTAAAAGAATAATAATTCCATCAAAAGGCTGAAAGATTTTTCTTAATTTCAAATAAAACTATTATGGAATTTATTTGTTCGTGGCGAATCTGTGTTTTCATTTTGTTTTCTATTAAAGTCAAAAAGAAAAAAAAAAAAAACAAAATTATGCTAATTTCGTTTATTTGTTTTAATCTGCTGTTGATGGTGGCGGAGGAGATTGAGAGGGAAACAATTTTGGCTTTTGAAGTCTGGCTCCAGTCGGCATTAAATTCCAGTTTGATTTTCAAGAAAAAAAAAAACACATCGATTGGCAAATATTGGCAATTTTTTGTGTGTTTTGTTATTTTGTCTTCAGATTAATTTTTTTTATGTATTTGTGTTTTATCTCTTTTTGGTCTCAGTCTTTTACGTCACAACATTCTTCCCAGCAGCGTAACCATCGCAAATGTCATTCATTCATTCATTTTTATCGTTTCAACAGAATTCCCTTATAAGTGCGTATTTTAACGGGTATTTACTTGACTAATACATCTTCAAAATCTATCTCGCAATTCAATCAATTTCAACTCTTATATGTATATCAGAGCTGGATAATCCAATTGATGCTGTTGAACTCATTTATGAGTTAAATTAATTTTTGGTTGAAAATGCGAATTAGTCAAAGGCGCCAATCAAATTAATTAATAGAACATTTAGACGCGATTCTGTGGAATGAACTGGACGAAATTGATGATTATTGCGAATTTAATTTTCACAGTTAATTAACTGAGTCATTAAACAGATTAGGGTGACCATACCACAAATTTTGTGATTTCCTAAATTCTTATAAAATTCCGAATCAAAACTTGTTCATTTTTATCAAATCAGCTAGTAATTGTTTAAGACTAGTTGGATTTTGATGTTCGTTGATTCTTTAGATTTTCACACATAATATTTTATCTCTCATTTTCAGGACTAAAAGTACATTTACATACAAAACCTATACCCGTTTAATCCTAATAATTTACAAATCCGAAAAAAATTAAGCTATGTTTTCTGTTCGTAAACGTACTTTTTATCTTGTTAAAGCTTACATTAGTTTTAATTGGTCTTGGCCGGAAAAAAACTAGAGGGTGAGATGAAAAAACTGCAACCAACTTCAGACTGCTATAATTTCTGAGCCACTCGTCCGACAGCTGTTAAAATTATTCCAGTGACAGCTCATTATATTGTTTACAATCGTACAAAAGTATTTTGGTGTGATAGTGTGATAGTGTGACTTCTTTATATTTGGCTGGAGAACCACAAGTGGCTATCGTTAGAGCACTCCAGTATTTAAATGTGAATAAAAAAATGGTACGAGACCATCGCCCGTTACCGTGATACTGGTAGTGTAGGCCAACGTCAAGGAAGTGGACGAAAGAAAACAGCAACATCAGCAAGTAAAGCGGTGAACTGCCGAATTTGGTTTTCTCCGATAAGAAAACATTCGTTGTCCAGCAGTTTGTAAACAACCAAAACGATCGTGATTACTTGCCAAAGAGGTCAGCTGAAAATGTGCACCAGAACTGAAGCCATTTTGATGGTGTGGGCCGCCATAACAGCCGATGTTCGCTCTCCCCTCGTATTAATCAACCGTGGCATCAGAATAAATACCGAATAAAGCCTTGGGCACGCAAACATTTTGGCCGCAGACCTTGGACATTCCAGCAGGACTCAGCACCATCGCACTCAAGAATGGTTACAAAATGAGGTTCCTAGCTTCATTTCCAGCGAACAATGGCCCCCAAAATCTCCGGATACCAATCCGTTGGACTATTGTGTTTGGATTATTTTGGAAAGCAAGGTTGGCACTAAAAAATACCAAAGTGTCGATCACCTCAAGCAAGCGCTTAGCTGGGAACGGGCCAAAATACCGCAGAGCAACATTCGGGCAGCGTGTGACGGTTTCATTGACCGTTTGAAGGCCACAATTCTCGCCAAAGGTCACCAATTCGAAAAATCTAAAGTTATTCTAAAATTTGATGCTATTTCCGACATTTTTTGCTTTCATTCAATAAAATTAAAAAAAAAACAAGTAAGCAAAGGCTACAGTCGAGCGGGGCCGACCGTTGAATACCCTACAACACTATAATAAACGATACAGTTTATATAGGCGAGATACTCGAAAGAATTCCACAAGATATTATGACAAATAATAAAAGAAAACCATCTGGTTTTGTTCTCTAATTTTTGAATAATAGCAACTTTAACTAATTTGCTCATTTCCAATTTATTGGTAGATGTTGCACGTAAATGGTCTTCCTAGATCTGGAACCAATATTTCCCAAAGACCTATAATCTCTCAGAAGTGGCAAAAGATTAACATTTATTATTGGTTTTTGACTGAAACGCATCTACATGAGATACAGACATTTGATTATATTCTTCAACGAAATCAGCGTCAACGAAATAGTCAGAAGTGCGTCTTTCCTGTATTTGTGAATTCTCCAAAAAGTCACTGGAATGGACATTTTCGTATTTTGTCTACAAAAGTTGGCAAACTATTTCATACATTGAATATTTTTGGATGGCCATCCAAAACTGCTTGGCTTTTGCAATGTTCGGTAACCCCCATTCAAATGTGCGTGAGGATCGGGCGATAATTGCGACCTGCTGACAATTTTGCATTTTTTTGGTCCATTTCAACCCCTAAATATATTGCGATCATCTCCAAACAGAATAGGCTTCTATTCTTACCCTCATCTGATCCCCATGCAAAATTTTGTTAGGATCGGGCGATCTGTATATGATATCCTGATATCCTAACTACTTAGTTTTGTTAGCTGTAGAAATATTAACAAATGTTTAATTCAAAATGAAAATATGACAAAATTGAAAAAATATGAGAAAATTTTACAAAATCAATATTTTCATCTTTAGAGAGATATTTTTATGTGATTTTTTTAGAAGTTTTTTCTATCCTGCCAAGAGGCCATTCTGAATTAATGAGAACTGTCGAAATCAGTTCAGCCGTTCTCGACATACAAGAGATCTTTCAATCATATTTTCTTTGATAGACATATATATCGCACATATTTTGCTATATATCCGCTTGGGAAATCAATATTTCGAGGTGTTACATAATTTTTGGCCCAGTCAAACTTATAATACCCCAATACATAGTGTTGTAGGGTATAAAAATTATAGCGTTTGATTTTTTTTGCAGTTTTTTGTCTCACCCTGTATACCCTCTCTAGCCATATATCTAAAGTTATAACCAGTGTTGAGTTCCGTTAGAGTTTTCATTGCGCAAATTCCCTTCACGAGATGAACTATTCTTGTATTGTAAGCAAATTAATATTATGTAAATAAATCCTGATAATGAGGGTTAATACGGATTAAAAATAGTATGTAAACGCACTACAACGAGTATAAAAATGTTTGGGATTATCAGAATCATTGTCGTCGATTTTTAAACTTACTATTTGAATTATTGGGCTGTTATCTTAAATCTTATCTTATCTTATCGATAATTATATTTTTAAGTACTATAAGAGTAGTTTTGTAGTTTTCACGGATTACCAGATGTATAATTGTTGGGAGGGTGGTAACTTTTATAGGAATATTTTCTGAATGAATTTCAATAATGTAATATATAAAAAGTTGCCTTAATAGTTTCAAAATCTGACATTGATATACATATGTATGTCCTTGGGAACACACACAATTTCTAAGCCAAATTTCAAAATTTCACTTCATGACCTATTTAAATTATGCGGAAGTATTTAAATCCAATTTAATACAACGAAATATTTATTGACCTCTGGTCACCTTAAAAAATCGGCCAAACTGATAACAGTATCTGAAATGTTTTCTAGTTTTTTTCTTTCCATCTTGTTATCAAAATAATTTTGGACATCAATCTGTGACTTTTTTTTTGCAGGGGAGGTTACCAATAGAAATAGTTTAAAAATCAATAAAAAACATTAGTTGCAAATCCTCATGATGCCTACGTCGACGCTAACGCCAACGGTGGTTTTGGCAACGAAGATCTTTAAAAAAAAACAAATAACAAAATTCCCAAAAGTCAGGCAAAAAAACGGCGAAATGAGTACAAAATTTAATCAAAAAAATATTTTGAAACGTAAAACAAGATTTGTTGTTGCAAACGCTCGCGACAACGGCGCCGACTTGTTTTTTTTTTGTGTGTGTGCTTGGCGTCAAATTCGAAGATGAGCCGAAAGCAGACCGGCCAGACAGACACAAATCCAGCGCGCGCAGGCATGGCAAAATATTTTTTCGTGGTTTGAAATAAAATTTCAGTGTTCAGTTAGAATGAGTTTAGATTTAAACGGGAGTTTGAATAGTTAACAACACACGCTAAATCAAGAAAAAACAAAGCGCCTAAAAGCAAAACAAGAAAGTAAAACAAGCTTTACATTTGGAAAGAAATTGAAAATTGTATTGAGAAGAAAATAAAAACAAAACGTTCAAGTGATACAAAGAAAAAAAAAAAAAAAAAGAGAAGGCATTTAAATGAACTTTTTACTAAACAGAACTTTTAAAAATTGAAAAATCAAACAAAACACTTTGTAAATTTAAAATTGATTTAAAAAGTGAAGTGAATGATGTTAAAGATGGTGCCATTACGATTATTTGTAATAAGCCTTATAGTGGTCTTGTCTTGTATCAAGGCCGGAGAATCCTATGCAGTGGGCCAGTCCAAGTATGGCCGTATTGAGAAATTTCCCTATCAAGTGATGTTGATTGGCAAACAATTGTGGCGAAAACGTATACTCTGCGGTGGTACCCTACTGGATAATCGTTGGATTTTAACTGCCGGTCATTGTACCATGGGCGTGACACATTTCGATGTCTATATGGGAACCAAGAGCGTTGATGAATCTGTGGAAGCGGGAAAAGTGGTGATGCGCAGCAATAAATTCATTGTCCATGAACATTTTAATCCCCGCACCGCAGCCAATGACATTGCCTTGGTTAAGCTGCCCGAAGATGTGGTGTTTACATCGCGCATTAAACCCGCCACCTTGCCACATGCCATGCAAAATGATCAATTTGTGGGTTCACGTGTCGTGGCCACCGGTTGGGGTGCAGCTGGTGAAACCTCCAACTCTGATCCCATGCAATACACCGAATTGAGGGTTATTTCCAATGCAGAATGCGCTGATGAATTCGATGTCATTACCGATGGTGTTTTGTGTGCCAAAGGTTTGAAAGATGAGACCGTTTGTACCGGTGATTCTGGTGGCCCCTTGGTCTTGAAGGGCAGTCAGGTTGTGGTGGGCATTACAAGTTTTGGCCCAGCCGATGGCTGTGAAACAAATATTCCCGGTGGCTTCACACGTGTCACGCACTATCTGGATTGGATTGATTCAAAAATTGGTAAAAGTCAGACAAATTATCAACAACAACAGAAACAACAACAACAGCAGCAGCAACCTAAACAAAAGCATTTAAATGATGGTCGCTATCATCCGCAACATAATGTCCAACATAAGGCTATGGTCAATACGCCTAGGGATCATCCCAATATTGTGTAAAATTGTTAAAAAGATGGAGAAGAAGAAGAAAGAGAAGATAACAAAAACAAGGATCCCTCCCTTGTATTTGGACATTACTGCTGAATCTCATTGAAATGACTGACTGAACCTAATAGCTTTATTTTTACACCCCTATTTTTGTTACAAACAAACAATCCTATCCAGTAATTATAGTATGTAAGCATGTTATTATTTATTTTTTAGTATAAACTATTATAGATAATGCGAGGATTTAGTACAGGAATTATTTTATATTTTACGGAAAATGTGCAGAGATTTTATAAAAAATAATATTACAATGTTTACACAAAGTTATGAAAAATTATCCAATGATGTTTTTTTTTTGACATTTGTATATTTGCATACAAAAACACGTCGAGTAAATCAAAACAAACAGCTGCTAAAACAGCTGATTTTTGCATTTGTTTAAAAATGTTTCTCTCTGATTTTATTTTAAATAATAAAATTCTGGGACGTTACAGATTTATAGACATTATTTTAAAAAAAATCTCAACGTTTTTCGTTTATAAGAAAAATAAATATATTTTAAGAAAAAGCAATGTATTGAGAAAAGGAACCACAGAAAAATGTATATGCCAAGAGCAATACAAATTAATTAAAAAAAAAATCAAAATATAAAATAGAGAAAGAGAGAGTATATTTGAGTGTGAGCAAGAGATTTTTGACGTTATTGAAATTGTTGAACCATTAGTCATCTTTGTTATTCATATTAATGCAACGTAAATTTTAACACTAAATTAACTCAGATTTTCCAAAACTTAATTGCAATTATTAATTTGTCAAATGTGTTTTTTTTTTTTAATTTTTTATTTTGCAAGGAAGCAATAAAAAATAACTCTCTCTTTTAATAAAAATGTGATATATAATTTGATCATAAAACTTGAAACAGGAATAACATATGAAATAAAAAATACAATATAATAATAATTCGGTGTGTTCATTTGCATACATTAGATGAAATTAAGCATAGTTTATTTATTTGTACAATTAAGTGTTTTCACATGGATTCTGAAAAAAAAATCTCAAATATTTGCTAAACGATAACAACAAACACAGAAACTAAGTCTAAAATTCAGATACAAAAACAAAACAAAGAGCATTTCATTTGTTTATAATTAACATAATTAAAGAAAGAAAACAAAACAAAAAACTGAAACAAAATACTCTCCAAAAGAAAACAAATAAAATACACAAAGAAATTAAACATTTTTTTATACAAATTAAAAAGAAGACGTGGTTTTATTTTTGCGACACCTTATAGCAAGTTTTGGGTTTTTGGGGTTTTACCCCTAAAATTTCTTGAAAGAAAAAAAAAAGCAACAACAACAAAATGTGAATTTAGCTTTTACCAATATTGTTGTTGTTTTATTGTTGGGAATTTCTTCGTTTTAATTTTTTTTCTTTATTATTGCTTTTGCTGTGCGCGTTATTTGTGAAAGGTTAAAATCCTCTCAGTGATATAATGTTTTTTGCTGGCTTGTCTATTTGAAATTTTTGCATAACGTTGTTGTTGTTGCTGTTAAATTGGCGCCACAAATTAAAGCTTTCAAATCGTCATTCAGTTAAATCTGGTTAAGATTGTAAGTCATTGCCGCTGTCAAATACATTGCTGCTGCTGTTACTGCGATTTGCTGTCATACATTGTTGTCTCGCAAAGGGTGAAATTTTGTTTGTTTTGTTAAAGACTTGTTGGGGTTTTCCGAATATTATGTTATAATTTAAACTCATTTTTTGTTTGTTTAAATGGAATGAGGCTAACCTCGTTGTGTTGATGATTTTGCGATGTTAATATTATTTGAACTTACGAAGTTTTGACCGTTTTATCTAGATATTTGTTTGCCAGTTAAAGTATCGACTTAATTACGAAGTGGCTTAAACGGCCGTAGAAATTCAAGAAATGCATAATGAAGACAATCATTTTATTTTTTTTTTTCCTTTAGATGTAGAGTACGGTTGAAGCGTATGTTAGCAATTACCAAAATTATTGTTATTGGCCAAATAAATGTACCTTTGCTTGTAATTTCGTTGTCAGTTTACTGGGCTTAGTAAGCCCAGTGGATTTAAGTTGTTACTTACGTTCATCATGATTTATATGTCGATCATGATTTGAAGTAAATCGAGTTGGAGGTAATACATTTTTGTGTGCAACCCCATCTATACCACGAGATAAAATTCGACCAAGCTAAAACATGTTTGATTAGATATAGATGTGGTAAAAAAGCGGGAAGGAGCGTTGAATGATCATCAGCCTGTCATTGATAAATATCGAGATTTACACGTTCATATGTACACTAATATTGTGATAGGAAACGGTCTTATAACGAATAGAGGCAGCTTTTAAAATTATCTTTTCTAGGGCTTAAACATATACAAATGGAAGAAAAATCTTAGGTGTTAGGGAGTCATCGAATGGTGTTTTATTTTTAGCCAGTCTTTAAGGATCAAAACACCAGAATTACCAGTTGAGAAATGTTGACAAAAATCTTTACAATACCGGCTATATGGATTATATACTAAAACGAAATATTTTCCCTTGTAATGTCTGGTAATGAATTGAACGCTAATTCGACTGAAAATGTGGGATGACAATTTTCTGCCGCAAACCAAGGGACGGTATTGTCAAAAGCAAATTTCAACTATTTCATGTTTAAGTTTCCAATTACCTATGGGTCTAATATGTTAGATTTTTGGTTCAGATACAATTATTATTCATCCTTAAAATACCCACTTTAAACACGTGAAAATTGCAAAAAAAAAAAACAAGTAAAAAAACATTGAAATCGGCCATATCAAAGCAGGAACTTCTATAGACAATTTTACACTTCATGGATTGTCATCGGTCAAAACTTCTTAAATACCAAAATCGAAACAATTTCGTGGGTGACTAGGATTATCAAAATACCGATATATCTCATTTTCAATACCAATCATCCTAGACACAATACAAAATGTATTGCCCAATTTTGAAGCTCTACGTATCGTGATTTCAGCAGATAGACGGACTTCATTAAATCGATTTAGAATTTTATGCTGTTCATGACTATAAGTAGACGAATATTTAGAGTTGTTGCAAACGGAAATACCCTCCTTTTCAAGGTAGAGGGTATACAAAGAATCGCATGAGATTACCGTTGTAATTGTATGATGGTATATATACAACTCAGATATCTAAACCTATTTCGGGTTTTATGAATAGGTCAGGCAATGACTTAAGTTGAGAATACTTAAGGGTGATGACTTAAGGGTGGAAATACATAAAGCGCATATTTGGCTGGTTTAAGTCATCGGCTGGCTTCTTCGTAGATGAACAAAGGAGTTTTAGGTTGACTTAGTTCGATTTTGGCCCTGGCTCTTTTGTTCATTTCCGAGGAAACCAGCCGATGACTTAGGCTGTAAATACATAAAGAGCATATTTCGTTGGTTTAAGTCACCGGCTGGCTTCTTCGTAGATGAACAAAGGAGTTTTAGGTTGACTTAGTTCGATTTTGGCCCTAGGCTCTTTTGTTCATTTCCGAGGAAACCAGCCGATGATTTAGGCTGGAAATACATAAAGAGCATATTTCGTTGGCTTAAGTCACCGGCTGGCTTCTTCGTAGATGAACAAAGGCGTTTTAGGTTGACTTAGTTCGATTTTGGCCCTAGGCTCTTTTGTTCATTTCCGAGGAAACCAGCCGATGATTTAGGCTGGAAATACATAAAGAGCATATTTCATTGGCTTAAGTCACCGGCTGGCTTCTTCGTAGATGAACAAAGGAGTTTTAGGTTGACTTAGTTCGATTTTGGCCCTATGCTCTTTTGTTCATTTCCGAGGAAACCAGCCGATGATTTAGGCTGGAAATACATAAAGAGCATATTTCGTTGGCTTAAGTCACCGGCTGGATTCTTCGTAGATGAACAAAGGAGTTTTAGGTTGACTTAGTTCGATTTTGACCCTAGGCTCTTTTGTTCATTTCCGAGGAATCCAGCCAATGATTTAGGCTGGAAATACATAAAGAGCATATTTCGTTGGCTTAAGTCACCGGCTGGCTTCTTCGTAGATGAACAAAGGAGTTTTAGGTTGACTTAGTTCGATTTTGACCTTAGACTCTTTTGTTCATTTCCGAGGAAACCAGCCGATGTCTTACTCAGCCAAATATGCGCTTTATGTGTTTCAACCCAATAAATACATATACAAAATTGGCAGAAGTCGCGCACACTTAGAAAAAAATTTTAATCAGCCGGAAGATCTACCTTACATTTTTTGTACCATGGTTTTATGTATTCTGAACTTTAAGCCAATCAAAAAAAAAACCTTTTATTTTCACCTTCATTTATCTTGTTTTTTTGTAAACGCAGGGTCACTATATACCATTTTACATTTGTCCTGTTACAGAACTGCAAGAATACAAAACTTTTAACTACGATAACCGATGATCCCTTTATGATACCGAAAAAAATCAAAACTAAGATATTGTTGCAGGATCCGGAACAAAGTATATGAGACTAAATTCTAACAACTTTTCAAAATTATGAAGAAAAATAATGTTTTTGCGAAAAAAACGAAAGTAAAGGACAAACAATGAAATAATTGAGAAAAAACAGAAAATCTAAATTGTATATCATGGTATAACTAAGAAGGTAAAGCCATGTAATTATATGTTTACAATTTTTTCAAATTTATGCATTTGACAACATCACAAAATCAGAGATGGGAAATGTTTTTTATGTATTAAATTTTGACAAGGTAAGTTGCAGAAAATGCAGAGCTGGGAATGCTAACTTGAAATGAGGTTCCCTTTTTTTCTTTGTTTTATATTTATTAACTCAATTGGCTAGTCTTTTGTAAACGCAATGTCAATTCGTTTTGGTTTATATGTTCTGAATTCTCGTACTTTTTAATGATAATATAAAGTAAACCAGAGAATTTTTGAAATCTCTCTGAGAGAACTGCTCCATTGTATGTTTATAACAAGTGTCAAAACTTTATGTCAATTCTTCAAAATTAACACGTCTGACAGTTAACATTTCAGGATCATGCAACTATTTTCACTCGACCAGATTTTTTTTAAGAGAGCACTATTGGCCGCCAATTTTGCTTGTTATACCTTCAGGCATGTTGTTACAGAGGTTATATAACATTTGACACGGCCAAAATGTCTGGTTGAATTGTTGAATCTTTCTCGTCCTAAAGGTGAGAACACATAAAACGCTTTTTTTGGCTGGCTTCTTCATAAAAGAACAAAGGAGGGTAAGGTTTACAAATATTAATAATGGGCCGAAATTGAACTGAGCCAACCCAAAGATCCTTTGTTCTTTTACGAAGAAGCCAGCCGATGACTTAAGCCACTTAAAAAAGCGTTTTATGTACTCTCACCTTAAACCGAAAAAAGGAGTATATTTGAAAAAAAAAACATTACTCTCATTATCTTTGCTTGGAGTAATTTTCTAAAAATAATTTATATAGTTTGGAACCAAGCTATATACTTTTTTATTGGTTACTGGACTATTTGTCATCTATCAGATTAGCTGTACCATTTATACATATTTATTTTTGTCGAAAAATAGTTTTTTAATGCAATAGGGACATTTTGTCAGTTTTTTCTCTTTTTTTAAACTATTTTTTTTTCTCTTATAGAATTGATTATTATTTCTGAAAATTCCGCAAAAAATTGTTTAATTTATAAAAATTATCGAAAACAAGAAGAATTTAAATGGCTCATCACATTTTCGGATTTTATTGTTGTTGCGATATCATCGCCATCTAGACGGGCGCCAATTGACGGATTACGAATGTTTTAAATTAAATTTGTA